ATACAGCAAAATCCATCCAAAATATACAGGGAAATTCATCAACATTCCATTAAAATATACAGCAAAATCCATCCAAAATATACAGGGAAATTCATCAACATTCCATTAAAATATACAGCAAAATCCATCCAAAATATACAGGGAAATTCACCAAAATTCCATTAAAATATACAGCAAAATCCATCCAAAATATACAGGGAAATTCATCAACATTCCATTAAAATATACAGCAAAATCCATCCAAAATATACAGGGAAATTCATCAACATTCCAGCAGAATATACAGCAAAATCCATCCAAAATATACAGGGAAATTCATCAACATTCCATTAAAATATACAGCAAAATCCATCCAAATTCCAGCAAAATCTACAGGGAAATTCACCAAAATTCCATTAAAATATACAGTAAAATCCATCCAAAATATACAGGGAAATTCATCAAAATTCCAGCAGAATATACAGGGAAATTCACCCAAATTCCAGCAAAATCTACAGAAAAATTCACCCAAATTCCATTAAAATACACAGCAAAATTCAGCAAAATCTCTCCAAAATCTACAGCAAAATTCACCCAAATTCCATCAGAATATACAGGAAAATTCATCAAAATTCCAGTGGAATACACAGCAAAATCCGTCCAAATTCCAGCAAAATCTACAGCAAAATCTACACCAAAATTTCCACCAAAATCTCCCCAAATTCCACCAAAATTTCCACCCAAATTCCCCCAAAATCCCTCTGGGATCCCCCAAATCCCCTCCAATTTATTCCCAATTGTTTCCCCCAATATTTTCCCAAGATTTTCCTCAATTCCCTGTAATTTCCTCCCCGATTTTTCCCAATATTTTCCCCCAAATTCCCCCCAATTTTCCCCCCAATTTTTCCCAATAATTCCCCCCAAATTTTCCCCAATTTTCCTCCAATTTTTCCCAATCTTCCCCCAAATTCCCCCCAATTTTCCCCCCAATTTTTCCCAATAATTCCCCCCAAATTTTCCCCAATTTTCCTCCAATTTTTCCCAATCTTCCCCCAAATTCCCCCCAATTTTCCCCCCAATTTTTCCCAATAATTCCCCCCAAATTTTCCCCAATTTTCCTCCAATTTTTCCCAATCTTCCCCCAAATTCCCCCCAATTTTCCCCCCAATTTTTCCCAATAATTCCCCCCAAATTTTCCCCAATTTTCCTCCAATTTTTCCCAATCTTCCCCCAAATTCCCCCCAATTTTCCCCCCAATTTTTCCCAATAATTCCCCCCAAATTTTCCCCAATTTTCCTCCAATTTTTCCCAATCTTCCCCCAAATTCCCCCCAATTTTCCCCCCAATTTTTCCCAATAATTCCCCCCAAATTTTCCCCAATTTTCCTCCAATTTTTCCCAATCTTCCCCCAAATTCCCCCCAATTTTCCCCCCAATTTTTCCCAATAATTCCCCCCAATTTTTCCCAGTTCTCCCCCCAAATTCCCAAATTCCCGCGGCTCATTCCCGGTTTTTCCCCCCAGGGCCGACGCTGCCGCTGGTAAAGATTCCGGAGCTGCCAAAGTCAGTAAGAATTGGAACTTCCCCTTGTTTTTAACGGAATTCCTGCCGAGTTTGGGATCAGAGTTTGGGATCACGGATCCAGGGAATCCCAAAGATCCCCCGGGGGCGCGCGGAGGGGTCGGCACCGCCCACGGGGGGGGGAATTCCCGGGATTCTCTGGGATTTTCCGGGGATTTGGGGGGAAAATCAGCTCTGGGGGGCCCCTTTTCCTGCGTTTTCCCACATTTTCCTGCATTTTCCCAAATTTTCTCGGATTTTCCCTGGATTTTTTTAGATTTTCCCACATTTCCCTGCGTTTTCCCAAATTTTCTCGGATTTTCCCTGGATTTTTTTAGATTTTCCCACATTTCCCTGCGTTTTCCCAAATTTTCCCTGGATTTTTTTAGATTTCCCCACAATTTCCCAAATTTTCCCCAAATTTTCTTGGATTTTTTTCTCTATTTTTTAGATTTTCTTGGCTTTTCCCAGATTTTTCCCTGGATTTTCTTAGATTTCCCTGGATCTTCCCCAAATTTTCCTGCATTTTCCTGGGTTTTTTTTTCCCAGATTTTCTTAGATTTTCCCTGGATTTTCCTGGATTTTCCAAGATTTTCCTGATTTTTCTTCGACTTTCCCCACATTTCCCAGGATTTTCTTTCATTCTCCCAGATTTTCCCAGACTTGGCTTTTTTCCATTTTTCCCAGGTTTTCCTAAATTTTCCCATGTTTTTTCCCAGATTTTCCCAGGATTTTCTTAGATTTTCCCGGATTTTCCCGGATTTTCCCAATTTTCCTTAGATTCTCCCAGATTTTCCTGGGGTTTTCCCCAGATTTTTCCCAGTTTTCCCCCCACATTCCCCAACCTTTTCCCAAACTTTCCGCGTTTTTTTTTCCCCCCGGGATTTTCCCGGTTTTTTTCCCCCCGGGATTTTCCCGTTTCTTCCCCCCATTTTCCTCCCTTCCGGAATTTTCCGAGCCCCCGAATTCCCGGGATGGGGTCGGGATGGTTGGGAAAGGCTCCGGGGGGGGTTCCCGGGGTTCCCCTTCCCGATCCCGGCCCCTTTTCCTGACCCAAATTCCCGATTTTTGCAGCCCAAGCTGACCCCGCAGGAGAAGCTCCGGCTCCGGATGCAGAAAGCTCTCAACAGGCAGTGTGAGAATTCCCAAAATTCCCCAAAATCCCCCCAAATCCGCCCCAAAAATCCCGGCCCGGGATTCCCTCAAACCCCCCCCCAAAAAAATTCCTTTGGGAATCCCCAAAAATTCCCGAAAATCCCCCCCCAAAATCCGCTTCGGGTCCCTCAAAATTCCCAAATCCCTCAAAACCTCCTGGATTCCCCCAAAATCTCCATAAATTCCCACAGAATCCGGCCCTGAAATTCCCAGAATTCCCCCCAAAATCCCTCTGGGATTCCCAAAATCCCCCCAGAATTCCCAAAAATCCCCCCAGAATTCCCAAAATCTCCCAAATCTCCCCCCAGATCCTCCTGGAATTCCCCCAAACCCCCCAGAATTCCTAAAAATCCCCTCAAATCCCCCTGGGATTCCCAAAATCCCCAGGAATTCCCCAAAATCCCCCGGAATTCTCTCCTAAATTCCCCTGGCGTTCCCAAATCCCCCCAGAATTCCCAAAAAATTCCCCCAAATCCCCCCAGAATTCCCAAAAAATTCCCCCAAATCCCCCCAGAATCCCCCCAATCCCTCAGAATTCTTTCCAAATCCCTCTGGGATTCCCCCAAATCCCTCCGGAATTCCCGGAATTCCCCCCAAATCCTGGAATTCCCCCCAAATCCCCCTGGAATTCCCCCCAATCCCTCCGGAATTCCCGGAATTCCCAATAATCCCGGAATTCCCGCTGCCTTGGCAGTCAGGGCCGACAAGAAGGCGGCGCAGGAGAAGCTGCTGCAGCAGGAGCACGAGAGACAGGTGGGGAAAAACGGGATAAAAACGGGAAAAAACGGGAAAAAACGGGATAAAAACGGGAAAAAACGGGATAAATGGGATAAAAACGGGAAAAAACGGGATAAAAACGGGAAAAAACGGGAAAAAATGGGATAGAAACGGGATAAATGGGATAAAAACGGGAAAAAACGGGATAAAACCGGGAAAAAAACGGGAAAAAATGGGATAAGAACAGGAAAAATGGCATAAAAACGGGAAAAAACAGGATAAAAATGGGAAAAATGGGATAAAAACGGGAAAAATGGGATAAAAACGGGAAAAAACGGGATAAAAACGGGAAAAACGGGAAAAAAACGGGATAGAAATGGGAAAAATGGGATAAAAATGGGAAAAAAACGGGATAAAAGTGGGAAAAATGGGATAAAAATGGGAAGAATGGGATAAAAACGGATAAAAATGGGAAAAAACGGGAAAAATGGGAAAAAACTGGAAAAATGGGATAAAAATGGGAAAAAAACGGGATAAAAACAGGAAAAATGGGATAAAAACGGGAAAAAACGGGATAAAACGGGAAAAAATGGGATAAAAACGGGAAAAAAGGGATAAAAACGGGAAAAATGGGATAAAAATGGGAAAAAAATGGGAAAAAACGGGATAAAAAACGGGAAAAAATGGGATAAAAACAGGATAAAAATGGGAAAAAAACGGGATACAAACCGGGATTAAAAACTGGGATAGAAGTGGGGTTGGATCCAGGAAAAAAACAGGATAAAAATGGGAAAAAAATGGGAAAAAACGGGATAAAACCGGGATTAAAAACTGGGATAGAAGTGGGGTTGGATCCAGGAAAAAAACAGGATAAAAATGGGATTAAAAATGGGATAAAAACGGGAAAAAACGGGATTAAAGACCAGGATAGAAATGGGATAAAACCAGGATTGGATCCAGGGAAAAAATGGGATAAAAATGGGATTAAAAGCAGGAAAAAAACGGGATAAAAACGGAAAAAATGGGATTAAAAATGGGATTAAAACCGGGATAGAAATGGGATAAAAATGGGATTGGATCCAGGGAAAAAACAGGATAAAAATGGGATTAAAAATGGGATTAAAACTGGGATAGAAACGGGATTGGATCCAGGATGAAAATGGGATAAAAAACGGGATTGGGGCTGGGAAAAAGTGGGATAAAAATGAGATAAAAACTGGGATAAAAATGAGATAAAAACTGGGATAAAAATGGAATTTGGTCCAGGGAAAAAACCAGAATAGAAATGGGATTGGAGCTGGGAAAAACCGGGATTGGAGTGGGATAAAACTGGGATTGAATTGGGATAAAAATCAGGATAAAAACTGGGATTGGATCGGGATAAAAGCAGGATTGAACTGGGATTGAGTCCAGATAAAAACTGGGATAAAAATTGGGATAAAATCGGGATTGAATTGGGTTTGAAGTGGGAGAAAAGTGGGATTTTATTGGGATGGAAATTGGGATAAAACCAGGAATTATTTGGGATTGAATTGGGATAAAATCAGGATTTAATTGGGATAAAAATCTGGGATAAAAGCCGGGATAAAAAGGGCCGGGACGGGGTGGGATGGAGCTGGAATTGCCTGGAATTCCCGGGATCTGACGGGAATTTCTCCTTCCCAGGAGCGGGAGGACGAGCTCCGCGCCATGGCCCGGAAAATCCGCATGAAGTAATTCCCAAATTCCCGTCCCGATCCCGCTTTTCCTGTCCTTGATCCCGCTTTTCCTGTCCTTGATCCCGCTTTTCC